TCCTTCACCCTCAAAATTGCCAAAACATTTGGCAAACTCCTAAAAAAATGTGACTTTTTTTTATATTTTAGCGATTTTAAGGGTGAAAGAAATTTCTACACGTTTTTCATGGATGTATATCTGTAGCTTAGATTCTAAAGTTTCTAAAACGTCCCTAAAAACGATGATTGGACTGTCCGTTCATGAGTTATGAGGGTTTAAAGTTAAGGGGATGATGATTCGTAATTTGTATCCAGTTTTACCCCTTTTTAAGTGTGTTAAAGTGAATTTTCTTGGGCTGGGCCTCGATTCCGCATTTCTACACATCAAAACGAAGAGAATGAGCCCTCGATCATCAAAATCGGAGCACTTTTATTTTTTGGCTAAAAAAAATGGAAAGTGGTACCACTTGCCATTTTTTGGGGTTGAAAAATCAAAGTTGTCCGATTTTTAAGTTTGACCACTCATTCTCTTCGTCTCAATGCGTAGAAATGCGGAATCAGGTCAAACATATGAAAAATCAACTATTTCATTCCCAAAATGGGGTAAAACCGGAAATCGCTCTAATTTTAGCATAAATTATGCTCGAATCATAATTTTGACTAGTGCAATAGAAAGATCTTATTCTCACAAATTCATTGGGATGCTTATTATCCATCTAGGCCTCATAGATCCCAAGTTATTAGCAGAAAACAAAGTTATGCTGCACCAAATCATAGAAAAACCTTTAAACGCTCATAACTCGGAAACTATGCGAGATACGGCATTTTTGACGGGGATATCCTATAGGGGGGATCAAATTTTTTACTTAGGTCCAGATCTTTCATATGAGCCCTCGATCAACCCCCTAGCATCATTAGCATAGAAGTTATGCACATTTTTATGTTTTACAGTTTTTCGCCAATATCTCATGTTCTTTCCAACAAAACAAAGTCAAAAGCCACTGTTTTGGAATCGTCTCATCAAGATCTTCCCAATGACACCCATAATTTCATGATCCAAACATAAATTATGATTTCAACATTTTTCGCCGTAAAATCGAAACAGAACTCCAAATAATCGTTCCAAAATTCAATATCAACTACCTTCTTGTGCTTATATATATTCTGATTATCAATCTTCTTGAAAAAAAAATTTCAACATTCAAAATAAAATTGCTCCTAACTATTTTTTTCAAATATCTTTTAACTAAAAACAAAATGGATGCTGTTGATAGTCAATAAGTTGATTGACTAATGAACAATAATTTTTGGAAGATCAGAAACTGATGAGAGTAATTCCTAAAACTCCATGTCGTTCAATGGAGCGGGATAGTGATACATATATATGTAGCTGGTGGAGTAGAGTACATTGACAATAACAATGAAGTGCACGCAATAGTGACTGGTGTCACGAATCGGGCCGGGGCACCTGTCCACAGGTATTAGCCTGCCAGTCTGTTAATCTAGTTAAGTCATTAGTTTGGAGGCTCCGTCGCGTATATATCCCGTGTACACGCTTGCCTGGATTAAATAATGCAGACACTCGATAATTCCCTCGTGACTTTGATCTATCGCTGCAATGTGTACACGTGTATATACTTCTAGAATTCTCCACTATATTGTATTATGTGGCTTCCAGTCAGTGTCATGAGATACTGGTGGATCACGACTAAACCAATGAAATCATTGTTTCATTTTTCTAATTGAAGCTTTGATTAATGTCTCCTATCATTCATTGGACTCATCAAATTATTTCTTCTTCATCCACTAGGTTTTTTCTGGCTACCTCTCAGCATGCAAGTTTCTTCTCTATATTGATAACAAATTGCAATTGTTAGAAATAATATCCAATAGTTTGGAGTTATGTGTAGGTATTAACAACAATATTTCGTCAATGTTGGTCTGATTTATCATCAATAATGATCATTCAATAGCTGGAGACTCTTTTTAATTGTTTACAACAAATTGCTATTGTTATAAACAATATGAAGTAGGTGAGAGTCATGGGTGGTGATTGACAAGAATATTTAGTTAATATAGATCCAATCTATCAGCAGCAATCATCACTTCATCGGTAGCAACTATTTTTTATTGTTTATAACTCATTTAAATTGTTATAAACAATATAGAGTTGTCAAGAGTCATGTGTAGTTGTGTATAACCATACTTTGTTGATGTTGACCCAATCACATATTAATATTGATCATCCAATAGGTAGAATGTGTTTCCACTTCTCCATCACTCTATTTATCTCGTAGTTTCTTTGTTATAAAAAAAACAGCTCGACCGAAATAGTTGAAACTTCTTTGAGATCTTCTTTATCGCATTATCTTTCGAATAAAATCAGTACAAAGTCGATATCTTCATTCATTCTCGGGATTTCGTGAACGAAAAAAACCCTGACACACCTACACACATCTTCTCAAAAACTACCCAGCATTATACTCCAAAATGTGGAGATATCATGAAATTACGAGTTTCAGAAATCAACTCCACTACAACCACTTCCTAACAGTAAATCAAATCAGTCTATTCATCCAAAGTACCTAGAAATTCTTCAATGATTATTTAAATAAAAATTGTTAACATTTTTAACATAATTATTGTTCATCAACTATAATATTAATTTCAAGACTAAAATAATTGATCGTTTGCAAGAATAAAGACAATATTATTGTTTATTAATAATAAAAAAAAAAAGATAAAGTGATAAACAGATAAAAAATGAATAATTCATCTCCAACGATATCCTAGATGATCATCCAGCCATCTTATTTACGTTTACTCATTTCTGGACATTGGTGTCGCGTCTGTTTCCATAAACCAAATTATTTTTATATCCTTGGGATCAGCGTTATTTTGAATTAATGATAAGCCGCAGTAGGACGTGGTCACTGCTTAAATATATCTACGTCCTCACCCAAACCCTTACACTCCACTGCGTATCTTATACATAAACATCTAGGAAAAAAAAAGGTTTACACTTATTCTTTTTATTATTATCTCTTTATCTTTACAAAAATACAAAACAAAGCTTAATCTAAGTTTCCTTCCACCAACTCTAGTCATTGAAATGACCAAAGTATCCAAGATGATCAACAGAAGTAATTGGATAAGTCTGAATGATGTATTGATAGCTTGGATGTAGGTCTAGAGTAACAGAGTGCAGGATAAACAAAGCACAACACTTGTGTAAAGATGGGATAATAATAGAACAAGTGCAACAAACTTATCAAGAAAATTTTCAAAGCTTTTATTCACTGAATGAGCACATGTTTCAGATACTTTTGTGGGGATGCTCCCCTTGAGTCATCCATATCACATATGTCGAATAGATATTACAGTTATCTACACAAACTCATTCACACATCAACGCTAGATGATTAATAATAAACAATAATAAATGATTTTTTCAAGAAAACTCTTTGATAAAATCATTCGAATTCCAAGAGTTATCACTGCTATCTTATTTAATAAATTGACATGTCGAGGTCTAGACACTCCACAGTCCATAATCTGAGCACTCGTGCACATGGCTGCCATAAGGTAGCAATGTCACAGACTGTTGACCATCATCGAATCAACTTAGTATATAAATCACTGAGAATACGAGTGCTAGAGAGATAGGTCTTGAAAGGATAAAAAAAAAACAGGGAAATGAAGTCAGGTTCTAATTAATCTGATTTATTTTTGGTGGATTATTTAATTGGATCTTTCTTGAGTGCATCAATGCTATCAGTGCTTTAATGATTCTTTTTTGCTTTCGTACTTTTTATTTGTCTTCTGATAATTAGTTGTTCTGACTCAAGACCATCAATGCCATCAACAATGAATTGGAATGAACGACAAGTGGAAGGTGTACAAATGAATTTTGATGTTGCATTTCAGAATAAATTGCATCTCTGTATTTATTTTTAGAGTCTCATTCAGAACTTGAGCAGAGTCATGAGCCAGGACTTCATGGCTTTCATTCATTTAGCAGAGTGTGCTGCAGTATTGTTGGATTAAATTCAATAAATCTTGATGCGCTGAAAAAAGAATTTGCTGTTAACAAGAGTGATTATTTTTAATCATTAAAATTTTTAATAGCCATTTAAAAAAATAATTTTAGAGTGACTTTTTTTTATTGAGTACATCATCTGACTTCATGACCTTTAGAATAATCTAGAAAGTTGAATGTTAATCTCTTCAATAAATCATCAACTTTCAAGCAATCTCTGATGTTATTTATCAAGAGAGCAAGATTGTTATTTTAATTTAACTAGAATTTTTAGGTTTACCATCTTCACTATTAGACTTCAAGACCTCTGGGATAATCAAAAAGCGGAATATCAAACTATCTAGCATCTTAATTAAAAAAAAAATCATCAAGTTTGAAGACAAACAGTTATTCTAAAATTGAGTGCTAATTGATCATGGTAAAGATGTTTTATCAAGTCATTTCTATCACAACTTAACATCAGAAAGTCATAAAATACTTGAAAAAGCTGACTATCAAACTCTCTAGAACCTCACTCTCTCCCCAGCAGCACAATCTCCAAAGCCACTGTGGTAGCAAACCACCCCACGAATCACCCAAGTGCATCAAATCCACCAGATTCCAAGCCATCATCATAATCATCACTTGAAAGAGCTCAAAAAGAATCAGAGCCAAGTAAAAAAAGTTCAACTCCTTCAGTAAAATAAAACTGGTACCTGTACCGGCAGAATGGCAGTACAATGCTGCAACTCTATATATCCAACTCCAGTATATTTCTGTGTTCAGGTGGTCGGGTCATGTATAGAAGCATGTACAGAGTGGGTATATATCTATCAGATGGTAGGCGTGAAATGAAAGGAGCGTTTGGTGATGGGGATTGGTGGAGCAGTTGTTGGGCTATTGGTGGAGTAGCATAAAGGCGTAACCAATTGTGAAGAGAGTGTAAAGTTGATGCTGCGCAACATAGCATCAACCACGCCTCAGGAGTGGAGTTCCGACCCCCCGTGGGACTTGGTGCACGCTGTCCTCGCCAGCCGTGACACATTCGACAAGCGGCGCCGTAACGGGAAGCAACGCGCGGCTGGGGACTTGGAAGAATCTACCGCACCTCACCTCCTGACCATCAAGAAATCACACCTATATTCAGCTATATCACTATCACATCGTTTTGTTAACACATTGTGACGTTCCTTGGGTGCAGTTACCTTATTCTCTAAGAGACACTAACGACGATTTTTGGGTGGTGAGTCCAACGACAACAAATCCACTACTAATCTATAATAATACCGTTGAGAATTTTTCTGATAGTGAAGTTATACCTTGAAAGTGATCACAACTATTGAAAAATCATCATGGCCTAAGCTAGAGAAAAATATCAAGTACCTTTTTTATGTTGGTGGTTTTTTGTTTTATTCCTGCTATGTTTGAAAGTTTTGATAGTTTTACAATAAATAAGAACCGAATATTCTAGTAAACGCGAGTGACTTTAATCATTTTTTAATCATCATTTTCTTCAAACGGATGCGAATATCTTACTTATTTTTTATTTACTGCGTAGTTAAGTTGAAAACTTAGCATCAATTGGTACTGAAGTGTCATCAAGATCCAAGTGATTGGCTAATTAAAGTGCGGGTTATCAACATATCAATAAGATCATTGACTGAATTTGTTGATGATAGACTGAGCTAGTGAAGTTAGTGATAAATGAAGATATTGAAGAGATTAAAATAATCAAGCAAGAAACGATTGATCTTCTGATTGGGTTGGGGTTGATTGATATCAAAGAAAAAGCAAAAGCAAGATCTAGAACAGCAAGTAAAGTAGTGGCTCAACGGCTTCAACACGCGGTCCGACGAGTGGAGTGGTCTCCTGCCCAGCTCCACAATCGTGGGTGCTGGGGGGTCACCATGGTTGGGTCTAGGTGCAACCGGAGGTGGCGCGGGTGCAACTACTGGGGGTGGCAGTCCTGTCGAGATAGAAGGACATTGGGGAAGAAAATTGTATGGAGCTAGTGTACCACCGCCACCACCACCACCACATCATCATTCGCGAGCACCGCTTGTGTTTGCACCTCAGGACATGAGACAAATCCTCAAGGAAGAACCTGTACCACGTGCTTGGCCTCAACCTGCTGCTCTCACTGATAACACCACGTAAGTATCATAAGTTTTATCAATCTTTCAAGAGTAAAATTGCTCGAGAATTTTTATGATGTTGGAGATCCAATTGATTTAGAAACTTTTCTTTTTTAGGTAAATATATTCTTGCACATTTTTCTTTTAAACTTTCGTCATTTTTTCTGGTGCTAAATTAAAGCTTTTTTAAAATAGATATTAATAAGCAATAAGTCTTTTTTGAACCTGAACAATAATTTTAGGTGCATAAATTTTTATGTGACGGATTTTGGATTTTAGTAGCTATTGAATTGTTTTTTCTTTTATATTGGCAAAATAATTAGTCTTATTAAAGACATTTAGGTGAATTTAGAGCTGGCAAGTTGGTAGTTTCAATTAATTTTAAAATAAAAACAATACTTATTTAAAGATGAATCCTTGTTGAGGTTGACAAGATGACCATTCATCTAAATTTTAAACTCTCTAAAATTATTTCTACTATTGTTTATTAAATGCTAGAGTTTTGCAAAATGTTTTTCTTCGACCTTTCATCGCTGACGTAGCAAAAATTCTGGCCGACAGAAAAAAAAATGCTGAGACTTTTTAATATTTTTTTTATTATGCATTTAATGCATAGTAAAATAGGGCTCGAAATTATGGATACTAGACTATTTCATGTAGGTTAAAAAAAAAGTATTCTATTGCCACAAAAAATGTTCATTTAAAAAAAATCTATAAATGTTTGTATTAAAAAATTATTATCTACTGCCTAGAATTTTAAAATATTTCGATTTAATTTTGTGTAATTACTTATCTAATAGTGGGTTAATTTAATAACGAAAAAAATAATTCAAAAATATTTAAAACAGCATTTTAGCTGTGTATCATATTTCTAGTATTATTAACAAAAGCATTTTAAAAATGTATTAATTTTTTAGCAATGAGCAAAAATGTATTATTTTAATCATAAATGGTCTTTAGAAATATTCAATGACATATTTTCACAGTAAATAATTTTTTTAAACGTTAAGAATAGAAAAAACAATTTTTTGTTCAAAAAAATATTTTATTTAATTTTTAATTATTAATAGTTAATTAATTTTATTCTTTACTTGCTATAAAAATACCAAAAAATATTTATTTTAATTACAAAATCATCCATTTTAACAATCTCAAAAGAATCTTCTTCCATTTTATTTTTTAATTGACAAAAAAAAAAAAAAAAATATTCAAACAAATATATTTTGTATTCAAACAAATCTAACAATTTTTTTTAATACTAATTGCTTTAATTTTATTAACTCCAGTTTTTTTACATAGTTTTATTATTATTTTTATTTAATATCTCAGAATGATAATATTGTAGAGTAAAATTGTGATTTTACAAAAAAAAAAAAAATTGTTTGATTCAAAGTGTATTAAAACATTTGTATAGAATTTGTAGATAGAGAGAAACATTATACTAAGAGAAATACTTGGGTGGATCAGTTAGTTAAAGGGAACCGCTATTGGATTAGAGATTCACCACCTACTCGGTTTACCTTTGGCTAATTCCCGTTATCAGAGTCTCTATGTCGTCGTTTGCACGTCGTACAAATCCGTTAAGCGAGCAAGCTACAATAAACCGCAGTTTATTGTTCACTCAGTGTTTCAATATATGTATATAATCTACACTAGTGTTATCTCTATATTTATAAATGATAATAAATATCGTCCATATGAATAATACCAAACCACAAATATTATTAAAGTCCAATCGTCGAGTGATCTATTGTCCAGAAACATTTATGGATATTCAAATGTTATTAGATTTTAGCATTATCCTCATTTACGTTTAGCATTGCCGACGGAGTCATCATGTTAACCTCTTGGCTTTTACTCAATTAATTTTGAACAAAAAAATATTTTAAATCGTGATGTAGTTTTCTACTTTACCGATTTATAACAATAATTACATTAATAAATAATTAATTATTATTATTATTATTATTATTACTCTCCAAAAAATAAATCAGTGAAAATCGGGGGTTAGTAATGGTAATAAAAGCAGAGGTGCCGCTTTTAGTTGAATTGAAAAAAAAAAAAAATAATAAAAAAGTTAGTACTGGACCAATGTTTACCTACTGATGTACCAAAACAATAATTTATGCCGCGCTGCGGTCTCTTATCTCCGGTCAGTTTATGTCTTTAAGAGATGCATAAGCATCTTCTGTCCCCACACGCAGAGAAATGTATAGTAAAAATTACCCTGAATTTTATAGTAATTTGGTGACACTGCAGGGTGAGGGTAAAAATTACTATACACATTATAAAAATTACTGTGCACATTGTAAAAATTACTAAACTGCATGGTAATTTTTAAGATAAAATTAGAGTAAAAATAGTAATTTTTACCCTCACCCTGCAGTGTCACCAAATTACTATAAAATTCAGGGTAATTTTTACTATACATTTCTCTGCGTGCACTAATAGATGACGAATTTGTATAGCACATGATTCAGACATTATTAGATTTAAACGTTCTTTCTGTATTGGAATTAATTGGAAATGTTTTTAAAATAATTAATGATATTATCTACGGTGTTGGGTCAGCTTTGGGACCGTTGTCTTTTTTCTATTAGGGCAGCTTAATTTGATATTAAACCAACAATGAGCAGATGAGTCTTTTCTTCTCTTTCAAAGCTTGATTTTTATATTAAAATTCATTCTTAATTTCAATAAATCATGTAAACTATCATTAAAAAGTTACAAATCTATTCATATAAAATTTATTGATGTATTAAAAAAAAAATGTTGTTTAAATTTATTGCTAAATGTTCCGTTATTCAAACAAATATTTAGACATTGTTGAAACAAAATATTTTGGCCGCAAAAAAATTGCCAAGTATCACCACTAAATATTCATTAATAAAACTAATCAGAATAATTCATTAATTACGATTATTGCCAAAATTTTTAGCCCATAATAATTTATAATTATCATTATTCACCTTTGAATGAATACAGAATGCACTATAAATTGCTAAAGTACTGGATAATAACAAGTGCAAATATAATGGCGCGTTTATTTGTCGCTGATTTACATGCAGGCCATACAATAAACCCACCACATAACTCGTCGAGTTGTATATACGGACGTAAAAGTATGTACAAGAGAAATCGTAGGATGGTAATCAGAGAGCAAAAGAGACTCTAAAAGAGATAGAAAGAAAAGCATATCAACGTAATATACCCTCTTCTCTCACACTTCTACCACCATCCGTACCATGATTTCAAAAGCACAAGCTCAATTTAAAGTTGGACAAATTCTATCAAGTGTTTGCCAATTGCTAGCATATTTTTCATACCACTCTTTTTTTATCCACCATCTCATAAATAATAATCAAACGATAATCGTCATTATCACGTGAATGTCTTTATATACATGGACATTGCAATTTACCTACGATAAATATAATAGCAAATGGTGCGTGCAGTTATCGTGTTTTCGACTGCTCAATGTACATATATGCAGGCAGTTATGAGCTATTTTTTTATGGATTATTACGAAACACTGTTTATCAGGTTAACCGCAAAATCGATAAGCTCACGCGAATGGACCACAGGGGTAAATATGTTTTCGAAATGGTATGTTATTATCAAATGCTGTCAAATATATAACTACTACGACATTACACATCATATTTATAACTTGAACTTTCTTTTTTAATAAACAGAAAAAATTAATAATAATTTTTTAAACACTTTAAAGTAGTTATTGTTTAGATATTATCAATCATCACATAGATGGAAATATACAATTACTACACTCCCTGTGGGCTTCTTAAAATTTCCTCCCGACAATTTCTAACACTTGAGTTAGGTTGTTTAGGTTCTTGAATTAATGAAAATCAATTCAACATTCAAAATTAATGAAATTAACTAAACTATTATTTAGTTTGGTCTCCAACACTGCCTTCTTGAAAATAAAATAAAATTTTCGGAAGGAAAAATCCTGCGGTGGGTAAAAACCTTCTAAACAGGTCAGAATTATCTAAATTAACTCTTGACGTGACTCTATACAATTCAAAATTCTTTAAAATAACAATCCAAAATTACTTCCATTCATCTTCTGCTCCTCCTTCTTTTCCGATGGAAAGAACTTCAGGGAAGAGCTAGAAATGTCAAGAAACTCCGAGATTACAGAGCTACACAAATTTAAAAATTATTACACCATCATAATTAGAAAAAAAAAAATTTCAATTAAATGAAAATTATTTTTAATCATCATGCATTTTACAGCATGTTGAGTTTTATTAAAAAATTTATTCCAAGCAAACTGATGAGAAAAAAAATATTCCAAGGCCTAGGGGATGTTGTTCAGAACCTGGGTGATCTCAAATACAACAATCAAAGCCATTTTTGATAACCGGAAGTGCCACTAAATCACGGCAAAGTGGGTGTATGTCTCCAAGACTGAATTATAGACGTTGCTGTTGAGCGTGGTGAACTGATGGTATCTGTGTGGGTTTATATATATATGTATATATTGTTGGTGATATTAGTGCATCATAGAAACTAGCACACACAACACAGGAAACGGAGCAAAATAATCGGATGTCAAGAGTTATGGGGCGCGAACCAGCGGCCGGTTAATCAGCCACCGATAATTATCGACACGAGCAGTACATCACTGACCCCAGCCCTCGAGTATCGCGACCCTTCCCTGCTAACATTCCCTTCAAGCGTACGTGTTAGACACATACACATCCCGGTCTCCACCGTAAGCTTGTGTGTTTGGGGCTAGGCTTGAATATAATCCTATACCATATACCACCCAATAACACCCATGCTTGCCCAACATGTACTCTCTCCTGGCAACATCTACCTATTGCATACCCGCACCATTCTCGCCGTCTGCCGTGACAAACGCGCCACCGATACCATCATTTATTTCGCAAATGTGCTGCAAAACTGCCGCTATTCATTTTCAAGCTAGTCGATTCAGTTTTCCGCTCCAAAGCCGTATTATATACTTCCGATAGCAAGCTATACAAGTCAACAAAACGCAAAGCGTTACTGCTTATTTGACAGTTAATCATGAGCTTCACATTATCGAGTGTCTATTCAAGGCTTGATTTTTAGCACAAGTGGTAGATTATGTGCCAGTTGAGTCTGGTAATGAAAGACAGACCAGGATGACATTTAGAATCATGTTGCTTTTTTTAGACTAACTTGATGAATCGGTCATGAAGCTTTTATTGGATGGTAAACATTCAGATCCAAGTCAGAAGCATGGCTGACCCATCCTTGGTCCAGCACTAGACCAGTTAGTTAGACAGATTCTATCTTGGATCAAATATGGACCAGTCCTGCTTCCTCCTAAACCTTATTCTTAGAAAGATCTGATGGAATTTCAAATTTCTAGATTTTCTTTTCATCCCCTTGTGCTATAAAACCTTTCTTCTGAAACTCAGTATCATGCAGAGAGAGAGCTTTTGTCATCTTTCCAAGTAGATGACACCAATTTTCTAGCTTCACTAAAGCAACCTTGATGATTCTTATTCATGTTGATGATTAACAAAATTACAGCAAATAATCATCAGTAAGAATGAAGATGGATCCATTTCCTGGTCCAAAAACTGGAACAACCTTTTGTTTTATCTAATAAACATTAAAATAATTTTTTACTGCTGATAAATCTTCATTATATCTTAAAATAAATTTATAAACAATTGCTAAGAAACCTCCTTTAGGCCTTAATTAATCTTATAAAGCCTCCATTAGCAATAATTACCATTAAAATTCAATAAATAACATTCTTTTTTATTGTTAATAAATTAAATCGATCAAAAAAATGAATTATAGTTCATTGATAAACATTTTCAAGGTCAAACAAAATTTATATACTGCTAAAAAAGTTGGAAAAAAAATTTTGTTTTCCCTCCAAGTTAGCAGCAGCAAACTTTATTTAGACTCCCATCCAACTTTGCCCATAATCGTTGTCAAGGAGAAAAAAAAAAGTGGTACTGATTTACATATGAGTAATGTATGATCACTCATGCATAAATACATCATAAGTAGGATATGATATCAAATAATACGCAAAGCACCTAAAGATAAAATCAGCGTAGCTTCTTATTCTACAGATGAAAATCAGCATCTAGGGGATGAAGTAGGTGGCTGTGCCATTACTCAAAGATGGCAGTGGAAAGTCCAGTAGCCCTAATCTCAGCACATGAGGCCTTAATGGGATTTTAAGGCGTCGAGACCACCTGAGCACTGCTTCAGATATTCGACCAGCTCGTTTATCTCTTGTCTTTTATTCCACCATGTTTCTACAAACTTATATTACGCGCTTTCTTATCCTATTATTACACAGTTTATATCTCATCTAAATTTTATCACAAAATTTCACCAACTCTCAGAAAGTAATTCACATTATTATCATTCGCTCTTTTTACATCTTGGTATTGTCCTTTTGGTTACAGGGTTGGTGTTGGAAGGGCGCACTTTGAGAAACAACCACCAAGTAATTTGAGGAAGAGTAATTTTTTTCATTTTGTTATTGCACTTTATGATCGGGGTGGACAGCCAATTGAAATTGAGAGGACTGCTTTCATTGGATTTGTTGAAAAAGACCAGGTAAATTATTTTAACTTTATATCTTAAGAAATAATAATAATATTTTAACTTAAATTATCTATTTTAATACAAAAAATTTCAAGTGCATCCAAAGTGCAACAAAAATTAATTTTATTTAAACTCAAGAAGTGCATCAGTGCATTTTGAATGCATTTTTGTGCATAATAAATGCAACGATGCATCTAAAATGCATGAGTGCATTAGAAATGCATCCAAAATGCATGAAATTTTATTTAAAAAAAATTATTTAAAATAATAATTGTTGAAATTAACTGATTATTAATGTAAACAGTGATTTTAATGCCCCTCACCTGTGCATGTTGAACCTGAGCTTCATCACCACTCCACATATATACACATGTAAATTACACTAGACCAAGACAGTTGCATAGCCTACTCCCTATTAATTAAGGTCATGTACCACGAATATACATCAGCACCTCATGCACTATTGACTAAGACAGGCTAAATACTCAGAAACAACCCCATAATTCAATTAATTTTATTCATTCATAATAATTATCCATAGCTTATAATGTACATATTGATATTAATATTATTTATTAATATTCGTTAGCTTTTTAACTCGAAGCTAATTAAATGTATTTAATTGGATGGAGTGCGTTGTGAAATACAGAAAATGCATTACTCTAAGTGTATGACATATGGTGGTATATGCACGCACGTCCCGTCAACAGATAGATAATTATGCATTGCACGCTACGACAATACGTAATGACGTGGCTTTTATGGACGCATCAAGAAATTAATAATTAGTCAGAGATGGTGCTGTTTGAATGTAGTCATTGTTATATCTCACGACATATTTTTTTTTTTTTAATCATTTCATGAAAATAATTATTGTGTAATCAGTTGCATTATCACCATCCAATTTCCGGTCTTTTTCCGAGTATTTTGAGTATCGTGATGCACTTTAGTACATTTTTGATGCACCAATGCACTTAAATTGCATCAATGCATTTTTTATAATTAAAACAAAAATTTTTTTTCATTGTTCATTTAATAAAAATATTCGATTTGTTATTATTTTTATATATATTAATGAATTTTTGTGCATTTTTAATTGCATTTTTATGCATTTCTAATGCACTTGTGTATTTTAGTTGCACTGATACATTTTTTATAGTAAAAAAAAATCGTCTTCTTACTTATTTGATAAACAAAATATCCATCTTATCATCATCAATGAACTTTTTTGTTTTTAAATGCACTTGAGTGCATTTCTGATGCACCCCAGTGCATTTTGGATGCACTAATGTAATTTTAAATATATTTTAACCGGGAAAAATTTTTTCTACCAATTTTTGCTATACAAATGACTAAAAAGGAAGAGAAATAATGAAAAATTACCTTTTGTGGTGTTTTTCAGGAATCAGAAGGTCAAAAGACCAACAATGGAATCCAATACAGACTCCAATTACTCTACGCCAATGGTGAGTGTCATTTTTTTGAAATTAATTCCAGAACGATTTACGATGGTGGAACGCGTTTGTGTCTTTGTCTTGAATGTGACTGATGAAAATGCTGACACTCTGATGAGCAAAACACTCGGTGTGACCGCCATCGATCTATATGTCGGATACCACAAGAGCATATAATGGGTTTGGCGAAGCGACGATGACGTTCCACGTGCATTCCTTACGACACACCGGGTCTCGCAGCTTGGCTAAAAAGTTACAGATATGCTATATACTGATGCGCCGGTCAGAGAGAGCTACACCTAAACAGAGACATATTTTATGTCAATGAATCAACCTGCCGCCGCTTTTGTAAAAAGAATAAATATATCACCTTTGCACGCTAAGGTGACGGAATCCATCATCCAATTTCAACATTTTGTCACGTTTTATCCTCATTAAATTTGCATTTCCTTTTTGTCCGAATAAATAACATTCAATATTTACACTTGATTTATTTATTTATCTCATGATGGATAAATAATTTTGTACATTTAATTGACTCGAATTTTCTAGTTTTTCTTATTAGAAAAAAGACAATATTAATGTACGATTCAACGTCAAATAATAAGTTCAATAGTCGTAGGTACTTTTTTTTCATTGTACGTATAATATACGGACATTTTTAAGAAGCTTTGAATCATCTTATTTCTCAACGGTAGTAGGCGTATCTGGTACCGGCAATTTTTTATTCTTCTTGCGCTGTAAGCCATGCCATAGTCTCTTATTCTACCTATGATCGTACTCGAGGTCTTTTTCCCTCTTTTTTTATCTCCTCTTTCTCCACATTGTTTTCTCCAGTCTATACTTTATAGTCTATATACTCTTCGATTATACCCCCATATATATCTTTGTTACTCGATTTTCGGAGATTATTAAATTCTTTATTTTATTCCATTTCTGATCTGAACCAGATACTTTCTATTAACGAAAAATCCTTGCTTTGAGGATTTTCATATTTTTTCTCTTCAAATAATGACTTTTAAAATCATTTTTCAAGCAATAGACTAATCCTTTCTCTTTAATTGAATCGAAATAATGGAGTTTTTTAAAATGTAGGTCTTATGTAGGTTTTTTAGAAATATTTTGATTTATTGAAACAAAGGAATAATTATCACTATAGATTTGTTTGTTGTTGTTATGATAAGATAAATATAAAAAAATTTTTAAACCCTTGTTGCTCTTGTAGTAGGCCTTAAAGAGGTTTTATTGATTATGCTAATTATTCTAATTAATGAGACAAAAGATTCCCTACGCCAAATTTGTTGGTTGGACAAAATAGATTTAGTAATTGTAAATAAATTTTTAACCCTCCTTATGACCTACAGAGCTTTAGAACTTAATAAAGTTTTTAATAATAATAATAAAAAAATATACTAAAATATTAAAAAGGGTTTCTGTAATTAATTAAATGAATGCAAAACAAGATTTTTAAACTTCTATTTCAGTAATGAATCCTTGAAAGCCATAAAGATGATTATTTTTATAAATTATTTATTAATTAAATAATTATAAATGGGTTATTCAAACACTCTTTTGTTCATATTAGGTAATTAGAGTCCTTAAAAATACCTCCATCGACAAAAAAATAAATTAATAAAGACTTCATTTGATTCTTTTTCTCAATAAAAAAAAATAAAACTTCTATTTAAACCCTACTTAAGACCTATAGACACTTAAAGTTCTTTAAAAGCTTCTATAGATGATTAGAAACATAATTAATGATTGAAATAATTATTTTTTCATTAATTTAATGAATCTCTATTGCTACTACTGTATTGTTTAAAGAATTGAATCACACAGAGGAATAAATATCATTCAGCAAAACTCCATTGTCGATCAATAGACGTTGAGATGAAAAAAATGAGATCAATGTGAAATTTCTTTGAAGCATTAATGTGTATAGACGATATCCTGGTGAATATTTGACATGATCAACCTGTTGGTATACCATCAATACTCCTTTCTACTGCACGTACATAGTGGACTATTTACTCTGAAAGTTAGTGTGGTAGCCACATCACCAACTCTGTCAGGTGTTCGATCTTTGCACATTCCACGCGTCATCGCGTCACCAATCACCCATGGCATATCAACAGAGCAATAAATCTATAATTAAATAATGAATAAGGAGCGATCAGTGACGAGCGCATTCAAGGGATGGCAAACTCTCTCCATATCTGGTTTTTACCCCTTTTTGTCTCGATACCTCTCCAACTACATTCTCAACTGACATTCGCTACTCTAATACAGGTTGTTCATCTGTTCTGCGACTGTCTAAAAGGAAGCTGGAGACAGAGTAGTTGAGACAGCTAGAGTATAAAATAAGATACTGGTATATGGATGTATATATATATACTTTCTGCAACAAAATAGAAGAAGCAGTAGAAGTTACCGCCGATTAAGGCTTGTCGATCCTTGGAATTATAAGAAGATCCACTTTTTCGTCATCTCTTTTTCTTTCTTCCTCTTATTCCAAGCTCTGTTTACTCATCCTACTGTGCTCGCTCGCTTGAGTATCCTCTAAGTAGATCCCCTAGTTATGCTAATGGATCAGTTCGTCAAAACACAACTGCGCGAGGATCCCCAAATGTCCAAGAACTTTGCATCATTTTTATATCAATACTTTTCACTGGATTTTTACTATTTTTCTTGTAACTTTTTCTTTCAGGATCTAATCATTTTCTACCAAAAATTATTTCATTATTATTTTCACCAAAAAAAAAAATACTTTGTATTTATTCTTTACTATTTCCCATATTTTTCTTTGATAAATAATTTTTTTTTTACCCTGCTGTGTAGTGTGATTAAGGTATACTGCACACAAACAGTAAAATTTACCCTGCGCCATAGAAATCGTTATAAAATGGAAGGGTAAATTTTTTTACCCCGTGGAGTAAATTTTACTTTTTCTGTACAGTGTATGAAAAATACTCTGAGGATAATTTTTACTAAATTATTATTTATTATTACTTTATTATTACTCGAACTCAATGCCCATGATGTTGACCGTCAGCCATTTTTTATTACAAGTATTTACCCTTAATTAGTCAACACCAATCTTCTTAACATCATCCAAAGCTAATTAATAATAGAAGAAATTTTTTTTTCAGGTCACAGACAAGAGCAGGACATCTACGTGAGGCTGATCGACTCCTCAACAAAGCAGGTAAATATTAACCTCAAATAAAATCAATATTTTTCAAATTAAGAATAATTGTCGGTATGATAGTGATGCTTATTAACGCAAAATATACATTTATTTATCATTTATGAGCTGTCAAGTATCCGTCTTGTTGATTGTTGTATGCGTGAAGCACATGAGTTATCATATTGGATACAAGCACTTAATTTTCCGGCGGGTTGATTTCTACCCTAGTTGCTAAAAGCGCCAATATACGTTATATACACTTTTGTCTCATTCACGTTATCTTTGCCACGTGGCAACTCAACTTTCCCCTCTTTTTGCTTTCGTTTGCGGATACCACGTGTTTTTCTGCTTGAAGTGAGGTAAGAAACGGGAGATTGAAGTGAGATAGAGTGAATGGAAAAAAAAAGTTCTGATCGTTTGATAATATCTGAAGAAGAGGATCATAACCTTCCAACAAACGCAAATACGCTTGAGGATAAGCATCGTATGAGGGTGGATTATATTTGTCAAAGTTGCTTCACATTCACAATTATTGTGCCTTTCACACCTAGCATACACATTATACTATCGATCCGCACTCTAGCATATTACTGTTATTATGGGTAATAATATATTGGGGATAAGATAACGTGGACACTTCATTATCGATGGGGCTTTGGAATTTTTATTTTCATCAGTTTCTTTGTTGGATTAATTTTTTTTTTCTCTATTTTATTGCTGGAAATGATATTCAGAGACTTTTAGAATAATCTAGAAATTTTTTCGTAATTATTTACAATTGAAGTTCCAAAGTAAAATTATTCCAAAAATTTCTTTATCGACAGAGAGAAAAAAAATGATATTCAAACAAATTTCGGGAAAATTAAAATTAATAGTTATATAAAAACAAATTTATTTTGATTTATAAATACAGTAGAGTCTCGATAGATGTTTTATTTTTTCCCATAACCAGACAAAGTAGTATTTTTACTCGCAGAGTAAAGACCTTCATTCATTGATCAAAAAATTTTTTTTCCTAATTAGAAAAAGTCTGAATACAGTTTTTATTGATTAATAATTTTATTAAAACAATTGGAACAGCCCTAGAAGACCTTTTTAAAGTTTAATAAAGTTTTTTTAATGATGAAAACAACCTTGCAAGATTTTTTCATTCACCAATAAATTATCTTTATGACTAAAATAACCCTAGAAGACTTTTTCAATAGTCAATAAATTATTTTAACCAACAATTTAATCTACCAATTATTTTTAAAACCTTATTTCGATTATTTTAATATCCTCTTTAAATACACTGACATCTTTAAAGACCATTTTCAAGACTTAAATTCAGCTAAAAATGATTTTAAATAAAACTTTTTAAAATAAAAATCAAAAACGAATTATTTGAATAAATTTTTAATTTTTAATATGCAAATATCTGTTGAATAAAATAGCAATTGAAGTTAATTTAATGATTACTACAACTATCATTCACCAGTTGTAACGAACGAGATAGATGTCAGAATAACATTTCATAAAGTACTTGAAGTTGGAGAATTTTTTGAATGTACGTTGCAGCCAATTACTATGAATTTATAACCGACCATCATAGATTTTAACAAGTTCTCTCAATTTTCCATATTCCATACTATTAATAATAAAATTTAAAAAAAAAAAACTCGAAAAATGATGAAATACTTTTTTACCAGTTCCATTCTCTTTATTAGATCAAATAACAACCTAATCAAATCGAATATTGAGAAATATAATCAATTTGTATGATAGAACATTCAAAATTTAATGATAAAATCAAAGTTAATTAATAATATAAAATGGATTGTAAATTGAGGACGTCTGACGATGCAAGGATGACTGGGTTTAGTAATTTAATCAGCTAAAACTAACAACCATTCTATTTCTCCCCCGACCTGACCCTACAACTGGATGATGTTGTAACCAACTAAGCCACGAGATTATTTAATCTATTAAAAAGTCTGCCTTTTTAATTAATTTTTTTCCATCAACAATTTAACATTGAAAATCAACAGCAGATGCCAATCATGACATTACCCTAGTATATTTAACGATTTTTCATTCAACATCAACAAGAGAATGTGATGATGAATCAAGAAAAAGGTCATCTAGGATCATCAAGGCCATCAACAATGTTTATTTATCAACACTAAAGTCTTTCAAAGGTTGCCTCATCAACAACAACTTGATTGAAACAATTGGGATAATTAAAACAATTTGTTTATCAATGAAAGGGTCATCTAGGGTCCAATGCTATCAAGAGGAAGCATGCTTTATCATGAGAATAAGTTGTTTAGCATTCAAGGAAGAACTTTAGAGTCAATATGACTTGTTCAGTCTTTAAAAAAGGACTACCCAGTAGACATTATTCCCATCAGTTCTAGAATAATGACTTCTAACAAGCATAGATGAAACATTGACACAACGCACAGCAAATCAAATCGCTTATCACAATCTCCAGCAATACATTTGACTTTAATGCTGAAATATGAGTATTTAACTGGTGAATCAGGTAAATAATAACTTGGAGATAAGTTAATCCCTTCCTAGATAAGAGATTATAGAGGCTGAGAAGAATAGCTCATATTGGACTCTCCTCACTCCCACCCCAAGACCCCTCTTATTTCGTAAAAATAAAGGGGGACTTTTGATATAGATATGTTGTTTGGCACCCGCTTTTACGTCGTGCGTGTGGAGGCTTCCCCTCAACCAAAACAGAAGATTCCCAAGGGATTTTATAGGAATAGTAATCGATTCGCGATGGCAATCATTACAATATATATCCATGTATGCATTTGAATTTGACTATCTCAGAATTTATCTTTTTTTTTTTCATCTTTTCTTCATTCGATTTACTATTTTAAGTAAATGAATTCAATGCTTGCTTTCTTTCTTGAATTTTCATTTCAAGGACATTAAACGATAATTAATATCATTGGATGAAAAAATTAGTACGAGTCCAATAGCGGCGTACTGAAATAATAGTTTATGCCGAGCTGCGGTCTCTCATCCCCAGTTTTATCCTTAAGTGATGCATAAGCATCTTGTGTCCCCACTAGCTGATGACGAATTCGTATAGTACATGATTCAGACATTAGTTTAATTACATTTAAACATTACGTCCAGAAGAATAAGGACTCTATAATGTTTTTAAAAATTATTTACTGATAAATAAAACCTTTATGATTTTTTTATTTAGAACAACAGACTCAACAATTTTAATTCTATTCAATTATTAACCATTAAAAAAAATCCCTAGAGTTAAAAATTAATTTTCTTACAATTCATTTTACGAGGATTTCCCCGACGATCGATGCTCACTTCACTGATATTATTATTCACTCTAGACTATTGGAGTAATATTTTAAAATTTTTCGTACACTGATGCCAACATCCTAGAACTGAAAAAAAAAATTCCTATCATGTTTCAACCATCACTAGAGTCAATTTGTTCAGTTCATTGTATCTTTAAGTTCAACAATTAAATTAAAAAAGTGTGTATACATATTTGTGGTTGAGATATACATTAATAGAAAGACTCGGTCAGATAATTACAGCATGATGAAACAACTGAATAAATAATCCATAAATAAAAATAATGACTTACTACAGCATGGATGGACGGCTCTACAAATATATAGGTTGACACACGTAATGAATCTCGTGACTATCGGCTTGAGGACTTGACTGATCGTTATTAGTCTACTGCAAGTAATTCCCGTGGGAATACGTCGTCGATTGGTCGTTAGTCTCTACATATATGTACACATTTGTAGAAAAATGCTGCTCGCTTTTCCCTTTTTATTTAATATCTAATAATACCAAATATACCTAGTTATTCTGGAACATAATACCTCTACTCTACAATAAATATCAAGACGGAATCACTGTCATCAACATTGCGATTTAATCAGGTTAAAAAACTCATTGGTGCCAAATTAATTAAAATAATGAGCTAGGGACATTTTTCCTCAGATAAAAAAATATCCCTAGATGATTAGTTTAAATTTCCCCTGTATAAAGAAATGTTTCTAGTTCATTATCTCAATTTTTTCCTAGATAAAAAATGTCCCTAGATTATTTTTAAAATTTTCCCCTAGACGAAAAAATGAATTTTGTTTATTAAAGTAAATACAGACTGTCTTTTATCACTAGATCTTCATTTTGAATGACAAAGTGACCCTCATTGTCACATATTCAAACAGATTCAAGGAAAAAGTAATTATTCGAAATTGTCGGTAAACTCGGCCGATAAGTGGAAGACATGGAGATAAACTAAGTGCATACTAACGTAATAATATTCACACAAAGTTGACTTTTAGACAAACAACATCGCATGTCATGCTGTTTCTTGTATACACACATATATATATATTGATAGCAATTCACATTTAGTTCTCATAACCTGTGAGATGTTATATTTGTCAAGCTATTATTTCATCTTAAACTCTATTAATTTTTATTATACATGTATTACACCGTTATCGCATTGTTATTATAAATATTTGCATATTTTTCCGTACTTTATAACCATTTTTTTATCTACTTATTCTTTCATTTTAGCATATTTTTTTATTCTGTTAAGAGGAATTATTTAATTTATTCTAATAATTTATCGTAAAAAAAGTTTGTTCAATTATTTATTTTTTTTTTTTTTTTATTGTGATGAGTATTCAAATATAATTATGCTAATTGTTTCATTGTCAATTAATTAATGATCTACGTTGTTCATCAAGTTGCATGTACATGTCCGGTAAAATCATAATATTACTCTGCACGAAACGTTTTAGTAATATAATCGTGCCTGACATTTACTATTTACTTGAACTTATTGACCACTTTCTGAATTTATACCTTGTTTTATCTTTATTTATTATTTTTAATTGATTAAATATTTAAATAAGCACCTTTTTATGTTCTCCAATCATAATAATTGCTTCCTTTACAAAATTATGTTTAAAATACTTCAATTAAAATTTTTAAACATTTCTTTATTAATTAAAAATATTTTTTTTCATTTATTTTAACCTCAAAACTTTAGGAATAATTCATTAAATGTTTTATTTTTGAGTAAATAAATATTCTGTTCTTATAATTATTATTTTTTACCCACTATTTATTAAGTATGTGTGTGTGTATGGCTAATTCATTTCAAATCAGTCCAACATCGTCAATTACATTTTGTCCAAACACCTGAGCCCATCAAACCTCTCATTATTATATCTTTTATCATATCTTACTTAACTCATTCATTTAAATAAATTTTTCACTTATTTTCTAAACCTTAGTAATTCTAACAATCGATTAAAATAATCTCCAACAATCATCATTACTTTTTCTATTTATTTATTTATTAAACCTATTAAAAAAATTCCACTGAAACTCTTCCATTTAATTAATTTAATTCTTTCCATTATTTTCATTAATAATGACTTCTTTTCTTCATAAACTAACATTTAAATTAATTTATCGTTAATTAAAATTTTTTTTTCTCCCTCTTTAATTATTATTGTTAATTATAATAATTAAATTATCCACATCAGAGGTCATTATTTTGTTTGAACTTGTTGTTTGAATATTGAAGATAGTTGTTTATTATCGGAATAAATAATATATTTTGATAAATATCAATTACAAGAAATCCCCTCCTCATGATATAAATTCGCAATATGTTGCTTATTGTCCCACAGTCTCCTTCATCGTCGATGTGTTGTCATTAAATAAAAATCAATCAGAACACTGTAAAGAAGGCTTAACGGATTTGCTTGCACCGCCCAGAAGAGCTTACTTGATCATCCTGTATGAAGAGGGGCAATACATCTCACTCTGCTTATCAATACATGTGTATTTCCATAAATATATTTTTTATTCCAAATCATTTTTGGTTTTTGAACAAACAATTCTTATCTCTCTCATTGTTTTTCATCTGACTTATTTATTTATTGTTTTGTTTATTATTTGTAATAATTGTTGTTTATAATGATTCAGCTTGGATGTCTTTGTGTTACAGGCGATTATGTACGAAGGACAAGACAAAAATCCAGAAATGTGTCGAGTCCTGTTGACCCACGAAGTCATGTGCAGGTATATTGATTATTTAATTTTATTTGTTTTATGATTATGAGGTTAATAAAAATATTTCAATGATGTCGTTCTCTTTATGATTCACTTGGAATAGAAATAAATGTGTTGAAACTTTAGCAGACATTTATTTTATCGATGGATTTTTTTTTTAAAATTATAAACAATAATTAAGAGTATTAATTACATTAAAGTTTATTATTAATTTATTATTTATTATTTACTAATTTTATCTGACATTGTATTTTATTTTGTAGACTTCAAAGAGACAGATGTTGTATTTAATTATGATCATGATGAGGAAATGAAATATAAAAACAATTTTTTGTTAATGATTTTGAAATAAAAAATTCATTGAAGGTATAATAGTCGAGTCAATACGATCTAAAAATTGGGGAATTTTTTTAATACTCACTGATTTTGCTTCAGAACTTTTTTTTGAAAATAAAAGAATGTAAAAAATATTCATAATCATGTGTCCCATAGAGCTTTTTTTTGTTTAAACAATAAAAAAGATCCCTTTACATCTTTTTTTATTAAATATCTTAAAAACAACGCATCGGAGATGAAAACATGTCAGACATAATTTTTAGAGATTTTTATGAGGAATAAAATGAGACCAGTCTCAATTCTCTACGATAAATAATTCCCGAGATATTTAATTGTTTATATAAAAAGTACCACTATTTTTTAAACAATTGATTGTAGTTAATCAACAAATAAACTTTTTCGATTTTTTTTCATCTTAATCAAAAGCTATATTTATGCTCAATATATAAAGCACCTCAATATCAATTAAATGTCATTACTTTTCGGATAAAAAAATAAAAAGTGCTAATTTCATTATTTACTTATTAACAAAAAATTAATTATCAACATCAATTAAAACTTTAATTCATTATCATTATTTGTTTAAAATAAAGTCACTAGCCTTTTGCAAGTCGAGATAAAAATAAAAGACTACTTATATTCATTGAATTAAAAATACGTAAAGAAAAAAAAGTGACAGATTTTTTGTGCTTTTTGATAAATGTATTTCCAAACTAGTGTATCCACCCCATAAAAATAGACCATATGCCTCTTCATTAGACACACATACTACACCAGTGAATAGCGTTGTAATCTGCATCCAGCTTGCGGTAGTAAACTATAAACATAACGAGGCGAGGCATCAATGTGTCGTAGGAGTGTTGGCTATATACACACAAGACAGTGCGTTATCCATATGCTTACTTAGCCAAGAGCTGACTCACTCAAACTAGTCGTACCAAAAGTAGTAGTAACAAAACAGTGTAGTCGAACATATAGACCTTAACCCTTGGGACTTTGTCCTGCTATTCAGCTTCACTATATACATATATGTAAGGCCTATACCTTATCCCGCCAAAATCCCTAGGGCCTAGTCGGTGGGGTGGTTAGTTTTTAGCCGCACTTTCGCAACTTTTGACGTTTTTCTTTACGATATGTGCTTTCTAGAATACATCATGAATCAAAAGATAATTCAATTTATTTATATGTTCAATTATTATTTCGACAAGGGACCGGATGTGTCAGAGAGAAAAGATTTGATCAAATATTTCCTACTTTATAAAATTAAATTAATAAACATTTTACTACGATATCTCAAAGTTGCTCTTAATAATTAATCATTAATTTTTAATTCACTCCATTTTACTGCAAGCTCAATAATAAATTCAATTTTGTACTTTCAATAACAACAGTAATTTTTTTTCCTTTTGATTATTTCAAAATTAATAGAGCTTTTTTTGTTATTAAAAATTAATTATCATTAATAAATTAATTAAGCTCTAAAAGCTCACTTTTTATTTAACACAACTAATCCAATTCAAAGCTTATGAAATACTTAAAATTAATTTCTCAATTGTCATAAATGTAATTAAAGATTCCAAAAGCTCCTTAAATACATAATTACTCTTCAAAATTAAACCAACAAATTAATTAATCATTATTTAAAATTTTGTCCTTACTTAATTTTGTTGCAAGCTCATCACTTACTTTTAACATCAAAAATACGTTGTTTGAATCAAAAGTATCTACAAAAAAAGCTCTACTTTTGTCACTGAAAGCTCAAAAAAGCTCCAAAAGCTCAAATATTCCAAAAAAAAATGTTTATCAGTACGAATAAGTTTTTTTTTTGTTACAGTCGATGCTGTGATAAGAAGAGTTGTGGTAACCGGAACGAAACTCCAAGTGATCCAGTGATAATTGACCGGTAAGTGAAGTGTCTAAATCAGTAACATTACTAGTAGTCACGTGGTTAATAATTTGTTTCATCATCACATACGAAGCTTTCTTTTAAAATCATTATCTCCACCCGAAAGATATCCACGAGGGTAGTGAAAAAACGTCAAGTATAGGGCGCAGGGTTTGATATCACCCGAATAGCTAGCTATATAGAATGTTAGCGAATGTTAGCTCCGAACTGATAGGAGAAACGGCGGTAGGGAGGAAGCAGATCCCATGGGATCTCAGCTGAGATATATAGTATTCAAGAGGACGACTTGTGCATCACAGTGATCCTCAACCGAAATATCTTTAGGACAATAAATAATATTTTGCACATTCATTTCTAGTTCACCAGTTTATTTATTTTTTTTTGTTTTGTTTACTTTTTTTTCGTCGGTTTTATTGTGACGATATTTGGTCGTTGTTGTCATCAATGAGAACAACGTAAGCCACAAAAATATTAACTAAAGGACAAAAAAAAAAACTAGTTGGATCTGAAGCCACACAATGGGCAAAGCAAGGGGACAGCAGTGGGTATCAATACCACTTTGATTGAGGCAACTATCGTCGATTGTGACATGCTCACTCAGCTGGACGAAAAGTACAAACATAAATCCCTAAGCCATCAACAGCACCACCTGAAGTATGATGCTTGTTGATGAATGAAGGAGATCTACGCCTCTTTCATCCTTTGTTGCCTTTTTTGTTTTTAATCCTGATTTTTTGCGGGTTCATGAGCACACTCTGGTACCACCACTTGGTCTGTTTAGTATTCAGGGTTTGGTAGATGTTGATGATTGGTGCTCTGATGATTTTTAGGATAGTTTGGAGATGATGCTTATTTAGCAGTTGATTGTTTCATTACATCTCTCTGTTGACTCTCTAAAAATGAATCAGTAAAAACCACTGAGAAGCAGTGTATTTTCACTGATGGAATTATCACTGGTTAAATCAGTGTTTTTATTATCATTTTTCACTGAAAAAAATCAGTAAATATTTACTGATTGCCAGTGTCTATTCTATCGCTTCATAAATCAATAATGGGATTGACACTGGAAATCAGTGAATATTCACTGATTTCCAGTCATTTTCACTGATTCATTTTGAAAAAGTATCAATTAAATCATGGATATTCATAGTTAATAGCGTTCATATCAACACAATATAATTTAAAAAAATTATAAACATTTTTTAGAAGAAAGATTTTGTTTATAACAATTGAAATTTATTATAAACAATTGAAAATAGTTTTTAAACAATTAAAATAGGTAATAATTGTTGATAAATAAAATCAATGCTTACAAAGTATTGTTGTCAATAGTCAATTGCTTTTTTTTATAATCACATATTGTTTATAACAATTGAAATTTATTATAAACAATTGAAAATAGTTTTTAAACAATTAAAATAGGTAATAATTGTTGATAAATAAAATCAATGCTTACAAAGTATTGTTGTCAATAGTCAATTGCTTTTTTTTATAATCACATATTGTTTATAACAATTGAAATTTATTATAAACAATTGAAAATAGTTTTTAAACAATTAAAATAGGTGATAATTGTTGAGAAATAAAATCAATGCTTACAAAGTATTGTTGTCAATAGTCAATTGCTTTTTTTTATAATCACATATTGTTTATAACAATTGAAATTTATTATAAACAATTGAAAATAGTTTTTAAACAATTAAAATAGGTGATAATTGGTGAGAAATAAAATCAATGCTTACAAAGTATTATTGTCAATAGTCAATTGCTTTTTTTTATAATCACAGATTGTTTATAACAATTGGAATTTATTATAAACAATTAAAATAAATTTCTATTGATTAAATACACTAATGGGTTGCACTTAAACCATCAATGGGGATTCTGTAATGGAAAGTTCGTCATGTAGACACTCCATAGTGAAGCTAGACAATTTTTTTGTTTATCAACAATAATTTTGATGATTTCAGTATCACAGAAAAGGCTAGTGTTTTTAATCTAATTGGAGTGAAAATTTCTATTTCTCATCAATGCCGATAAATATATCTACATGTATAGATTTGTAGAAATTTGCATTCATTAACACTACAAGTGCGACTGATTGACAATTCGTACGTCATTGTGACGTCAGTTTGACGCTCTGATGTGTATTCTCTTGCGATCAATTCAAGTGACGATTGATTGTTGCACACACAGAACACGACAGCCATGAGTATAAAATATATACACAACAATATAACAGTTAACTCAGTAATCAAAAAAAAAAATATACATCATCAACATCATCATTTCAATTCAACCGGTAGGTTTTTATTGAAATTATTTTCAATGAATATGCATTGGAAAAAATGTAATCTAGTGGAAGTGATTTTTTTTTGTTAATAAAAAAAAAATTAGTTAAAAAAGTATGCAATAGTGTAAGAACAGTAGAATATATGGCTCGTGTAAGCTATATGATGGATGCTTAAATTAAAGGGTTACCGAATGGTGCACGACGAAACAAAGTTAACCAATCACGCTACTAGATCGTCCGCACTAGCGTTATTGGCCGTTATTCCCGGTCGCTCGTCACATTGTTCAATTTTTTTTGTCGACATTTTCTGTTTTTTCGAATCACGAGCCGGAGAGATAACACGTGAACACCACAACAGTCGAAATAGAGACAAAATTTTCGTAATTATAGAGTACGGGTATACTCTGGGGACTCGACAATGGCTGAATGCCGCTACTGTTGCAGTTGTAACTGCAGACTAGGTCTAAATGCTATTATATATCATCATTATTCATGCTAATTGTTTTTTAAATTCATCGTGGAAAAAGTGTCATATCTGCATTTAAGATTCGAGATACTTCTGATTCTAGATTTATTCAATTCCTTTTTTTTTTTTTAATTTTTTAATAGCGGATTTTAAAAGGGGAATTATTTTTTAATTGATTTGTCTTTAAGAATTTATTTGTTTACAATTAATGATTTCAATTATTCAAAATATTTAAAATTTTTTGGTAATTCGTTTTTTTTTTTATGTTAAAGTTTTGAAAATCATGATTTCATTATTAATTCAATTTCATCGGAACACGATTTGTTTTTGCAGTGATTAATGGAATTTATTATACGAAGTACATTTGCACTATTGAAAAAATAACACGTGAACAAATAAAGATAGGAGGAATGAGGTGGGGGCGGGGAAGGGGTTGTTATAATTTGGAGCAAAGGAATTGAAAGTGACGAAGTAATACTATATAATTACCAACTTTTCCTTCAAAAATTCTACACCCGAGTCGAAAAATTGGGACTCATTTTGTCTTCAATTAGTCTTTAATCGAATTTCAATATATATTTGAGACTATAGGACTAAAAAGTCTTATTTTATCCGCGGTTTTCCATTATTAAGACAATTTGAGACTTTTGAGAAGTTTAGATTTTTTTTAAATCTCACTTTGTCCTCAAAAAAGTCTCATTTTGTTGTTATTGAGGAAAAAATGAGTTCTGTTTGAAAATTGTTTGGTCCATTAAATGAGGACAGAATGAGATACATGAAACGTTATTGGGACTTTATTGAGTAAGCAAAATGAGTTTAAAAAAAGGCTGGTGTGACAAGAAACATTGAGGCCTATCTGAGACTAAGTGGGATTTGGTTAATAAAGGCTTATGAGAACTAAATAAAACATTTGAGGTAAAGACATGTTAAATGAATACAAAATGAAGATAGTATGATTGAAAACATTGAGAATAAAATCAATTTAATATGATTGAAAATATTTAGGATAAAATGAGACTAGTGAAGATTCGATGTAAATAGGATTATGAAGACTAATTGAGACATTTAGAATAAAAGAATGTTTAAATCAGACCAAATTCTGTCTAAATAGTTTACTTCAAGATAAAACGAGTCACACTTTTTTGACTCGGGACAGACTTTAAAAAGAAATAATTAAAAAATTAAAAATAATTATTTAAACCTTAAATGTATTTTCATAGCCATAAAATATTTCGCACCCCATTATGACAATTAAATAGTCAAAACAAATAGCATTAAAAAGAAAAGCACTGAAATTTGCTTATTTTTTAACTCTATTAGTACAATCAAAACACAGGGTCGTTGGAGTACCCTGCATAATAAAGTACATAAAATAGAAGAGGAGTGAGAGATACTCTTAGGTAGCATATGGGATGATGGCTAACCTTCTACTCTAGTAACAGGACGTCTGTCACACCCTACTTTTTTTTTATATATAAGTACCCTTAGAATAAACCGACAATACAAACTACCACCCTATATATACACTTTGGGACCCATCTTCTGCACCCCACTAACACACTAGGGGTATACTCGGCTGGTGCAGTGTGTACATATTGCCTATTTGCCCAGGCGTTAAGGGAGAAAGTGCAGGATTTACAGACCGATGAATGACTATCCACCGGTACCGGTTAGTTGAAAAAAAACCACCAGATGATGGATAAATACCCGCAATTTATTTGCTCGTTTTATTGCAGGCTTTGTTATTGAATTAATTGGGACATCAATTGACATTTCTTTGATCAATTGATATCATAATAATCCATTATCTCTCATTATTATCAACAAATAAATACTTAAAACAATTTTAATTCTACATTAACATCGTTCTAAATACATAAAACACTCAATAATGATTAAATTTTGAAAAAACTCATTACCAACAGTCGGTAATTTTTTTTTTTTTAAAAATGAGTTTAGGTGCATTTTAGTGTGTTGACAATCGTTCTATTGGTGTGAATATAACTCTCAGTGGATTTAAACAATAAAAAATTTTATTTTGTTTATAACAAATTGCAATTATTCAAAGTCATGTGTATTTATTAGCAATAATATGTTGTTTATATTTAAATAAATGATAATAATTTTTTTTATTCTTTATCGACTGAGTTTATTATCTATTTTCTTCTTGCTAGTGATCATTAAATAATTTGTTGTTAATAATAAAAAGGTATTTTAATAGATTTGTTTTTTTTTTTT